TACATACATACATACATACATACATACATACATACATACATACATACATACATACATACATACATACATACATACATACATACATACATACATACATACATACATACATACATACATACATACATCAAAGGGTCGCATTGTTTATTGTCAGCGTGGTGCCTAGAGAGAAGCTCAGGAATGTGTTGTTGAAAGCAGGGAGGAAAGTGTGGTAAAAACTAACTATTCTCGCCCGGTCTGGTAGCTCGAGTAAAATGCTTATTTGAGAGAGTCAATACTGTACCAGATTCAAGTCTTTGCGCAGGTGTACATTTCCCCTCCCCTTTGACATATATGCGCGTTATTCGCATTTGTATCCAAATAAAACAGTCAGTACTAAATTGTTGATCGGAAACTTAATCAGCGGTTTTATATTTGTCACAAACGATGTAAAGAATGAGTTTAATGTAAATATTGACCTTTGTTTAATGTATACATTAATGCCTACTCAGTTTATCCTCTATTTTAGTAGTTACTTTCATAATGATCTGTGTTTATGTAGGCCACGTAGACCAATGGCTATTTCCAACTTTGCACACTGTTCGACGGTTTTAGGCAACTTTTTGATTATATGATGTAATTTCCGATCACATTTAGACGACTTACAGGCGCTAATAATTTGTTGGTAAGATGACGGACAAATAAGCGTTTATCACAACTGGAATGAAGTACGTTAATGTAAAGAAATGTGTCCAGCACTTGATTCCGATAAATGTAATAAGCATTTTCGTGTCATGTTGGAAGTGAGTATACCAATATCAATGCCAATATCGACAACGACCATGGATTGAAGGACGTCAGCAATTTTTACGTGTCTGACGTGAAACTGTGAATGCTTGAAATATTGAGCTGTATTGATGAAACAAGAACAACAAATACAAATGTATGTGCGTATGTGTGCCTGAGTGTGCGTGTGTCTGATACGCAATTCCTGGAGTGCTTAAATAAAAGACCTGCATTTATATTGCCATCATTGATAAAACGGTCTCAAGAAATACAAACTAAAGTATAATATAAACTAATTAGAAAAACGTTTAACTAAAACTGTTTCTGGTACTAGTATTGTGCAACGTGCAGTCAGACCTGTACTAAGCAACTACCTTTGAAAAGCGAAATCATTCACATCGTAAGGCAGGTGATTGCTTAATTAATGTTTATTTCTGCAAAAACCAGGTCTTGAGTATATTGAGAAAGTGACTGTTCAAGGTAAGGAATTGTTTAATAGCGGTGGCTGTAAGGACGGGTTTAAATTGATAGAGGTTGTATGCATGAATAATGTTGGAATTATGCCTCTTTGAGGTGAGGCCGATTTTCAACTTTTTCACCCTGGAAATTTGCAATGCTTTACTACGTCCTTAATTAGCAGGAACTACTTCTACCTATTACGGATTAAAATAGGGTCAATCTCTTTCTGGTCTACTTACGAGTCAATCACTGGTTACCCGGGACTAAACGACTCCATAAAATATAATTCATGATCTGGTAATACATACATTTCAATCAGGCGTGAGCATGAGTACACACACACACACACACACACACACACACACACACACACACACACACACACACACACACACACACCTTATCCCTGGAACTTAACTTGCTGACTTTAAGGCTTACGTAAATAGATTTCACTCCCCATGAAGTGCTACGGGTGGTCGAGATTTGAAGAACGTAAGCAAGCATAGACGTCAAATTTTAAGTGTGATAGTGTGCACAGGGTCTAGTACATATTGTACAAAAATAGTGAAATAAATTTTGTACAATCGGGCAGTTATGCTTACGCTGTTTTTGGAAGATGGGAAAGTATTACAGTTTTGTGGACGTCCTTTGCGAAAATGTTTTTTTGCAGTTTGCAGTGTCTGGGATGAATGTGTGTGTTTAATATACGAACTTCTTTTAGTAATTTTCAACTTAACTATTGCATTTTAAATTTCCAATTAATACAAATGACGGTATAAATTTTGAATATGTACTGATTCCTTTTTGGATTCTTTGTCATAATGTCAGTGTCATTCCTCGAAATTCAAAGTCTCGATTCCAAAGCTTTCGTGTTGAAATTACATAAATGGGTCAATTGCGCTAGTCAAAATTCGTCATAATGAAAGCTACATTTACCCACTACGTGTTCTTTTCCTATCACATGATTATTTATCGCATATTGTTCTCCTCGTTTTTGCCTAATATCAAAGGCCTTTATAAAAATATACTTGTATGTTTTCTAGATCAACTCTCGCTGGTTAATATTTAATCGCTTTGATGTGTGGAACGGCAATTCAAGCAATTACACTTGATTCTCAAATAATGACCCGCTCAAAATATATGGAAGCGTTAAGAAAAGGAATAATATTCAATTGGCATTTTTCATAGTGTAATATAAAAGTACATTGTATATTATATACGTTGAGATAAAACTTGAATTTATTTTTTTAATAAGCGCCGTACTTAACCTACCTACCCATTCAATTATATTGACACAAACATTTTCCATTTGCGAAATACTTTGCAAAACTTCCTCGAGATTGACGCAAATTCTCGTCGACATAATTCAATTGTTACAGAACGGACATGATTAGATGTAAGTAACTCTATCTCTGACAACCTTTAACGAAATTTATACGACAACTAAGGAAGTTAAGATGTGGACAATAAGTTGTACCAAAATTAGATATGGTGTTTTCAATAATTATAAAAATAATAATAACATGAAGAAGAAGAAGAAAAAGAAGATGAAGAAGAAGAAGAAGAAGAAGAAGAAGAAGAAGAAGAAGAAGAAGAAGAAGAAGAAGAAGAAGAAGAAGAAGAAGAAGAAGAAGAAGAAGAAGAAGAAAATAGTAATTAGAAACTAGGATGGAATGCGATGTTAATAATAATAATAATAATAATAATAATAATAATAATAATAATAATAATAATAATAATAATAATAATAATAATAATAAAACTATTATTATTATTATTATTATTATTATTATTATTATTATTATTATTATTATTATTATTATTATTATTAAGGCATGCTCTTTTCAAATTAATATGAAACAAAACTATTTTATTCTGATTAGCGTTCAGATATGTGGAGCATGCATGGCCAGATGTGTTATGTTACCTGAAAGATTGCGGAATTCGCGTGAGCTGGAGCTGTAATTCACTCTTATCACGAACTATTTTGTACCTACGTAAAATGGGCCCCACCACACTTCATTGCTTACTTATGTAGGCAAGTAACGGTTACATGTTATCAATAACATGATTTCCCACCTCCCGATGGACCAGCGATTATTTTCCCGGTCACTGTTCTTCTACGAATACAATTACAGCTGACCCGAAATCAATATCGGAGATCGATTGTCAGTATACATTGCCATAAGACAACTGGAGGAATATCGAACAGTGTCTTAGTTGAATTAGGATAATATCGATACGGAGCGGAGTGTGAAATAAGGAGAAATAAGAGGCACGGTAGGGATTAATATATATATATATATATATATATATATATATATATATATATATATATATATATATATATATATATATATATATATATATATATATATATATATATACAGACATTCAATTACAAAAGCTGCATTATTGATTAGTTCTTACAGTGAAATATAATAAAACATAAGCAAATCATCCTAAACTTTTCTAATTATGAATAAAGATAGTATTTCTATCGTTGACAAAAGTTTAATTCACGTTAAATCAGGTCCAAATTGTACATAAAATGATTCTAATGATTTTCTAAACGTTTTATTTTCATTTACCCTTCAGCCACCTCTTGTATAGTGTATTGCTATGGAATAACTTATCTTAAGGCGTGCTATAGGTAAATTAGAGATAGCGGCTAATTGTTCGTTAATAGATGTAGTTCAGCGCTGCGACCTCAGAAGCAGTCTTCCAAATCGGTATTTTGGCTCGATACTGGATTTGAGAAACAATAAAACCGATCGTAATGCTATAAATTCCAGTTATGCAAAGAACTTCACGCGTTCAAAATGTGATATCTTTCTCCCCGGGAATCAACCAAACTCTCTAAAGGAGAGTATTGCTACACTACAATCGGTTAGACCTACATTTGTGTGTATTAAAAAATTTGGCGCTATAGCAGGAAATATTCTGAACATATATAAATGTAAATATCGTCACATCAAAGGTACGAATCCCTTTAATCGAGTAAATTGCATATATATATATATTTGTTGGTGAGTAAATTGCATATATATATATATATATATATATATATATATATATATATATATATATATATATATATATATATATATATATATATATATATATATATATATATATATTTGTTGGTGCCTCTGTTGGGCTGATGAGCAATCACGTGATTCGGTGTGCTTAATGGATAATCCAGCATTACTCTGACTATGCATTGCATACATGCACTTAGATTATTGTGATACAGTTCTAAGCAGAGACAGTTGGCACTTATGATGCTGTTTGTGTGTATGTATTAGTTTCTATGTTTTGCTGTTGTTGGTTCTTGTTTGTTTGTTTTTTTGTGGGGGGGGGGTGCTTTCTTGTATCAACGGATAATTCCTAACGGTGGCACTGGTGGGGGCCTTGAAATCATCGTGTACATATTCTAATAGTTTTATAGGATGCATGTTGAAGACCAATGATGATGATGGTGTGTGTGTGTGTGTGTGTGTGTGTGTGTGTGTGTGTGTGTGTGTGTGTGTGTGTGTGTGTGATTTCGATTTTTTTAATGTAGCTTTAAATAAATTTCAGTCACATCGTTGCGATGCCTGCAATGTGGCAGTTTATAGTGATGTCTAGCATTTTGGCATAATCCTATATACATGTAGCATGATGTCCCACCCAGTCACATTATCCTGATACCTGGCCGACCAGTCCTAACAATAACCTATTAATTCTGAGCACCAAGCGAGACAGCTGTTAATACCATTTTTGTAACCCTTTGATAGAGCTCAGCTGGGGATCGATCCCACGACCTCCCGCATCAGAGGCTCACGCTCTAACCATTAGGCCACCGGAGCGGTTAAACCAAATATGAATGTTACAGTATTAATGTCATTGTGATCTAGCAAGTACAAGGCTTTTCTAATCTTACGATGAATTCAGTGTGGTGGACTCTAGTAGCTTGTTACATGTAACAAGCCTACAGTTTCTGATATTTATGTACGCACAACTTCATAACTTCATATCATTTGTCATAAACATAAATCAGTCTTAATAAACCCGAATCAGCAGATGTCTGGACTGTAGTTATCGATCTGTAAAAATATAAAGAAGGACAAATAATTGAAATGAGATAGAAAGAAAAAAGAAAGATGGGCATGGATATATTATCTTCTTATATCTTAAACAACCTTATGTCTGTTTATAACTGAGGCAAATAAAAATCAATGAAAAATCTTCTTGTCGACAATAATATATTCAATTAACATCTTTTTTATCAAACCAAACCGTGTAGAAAATCCTTGCTATGGACATTCACTTATGGAGTTTTCGAATGACAAAACAAATGACGTCGGTTTAAAAAATTTACTTTCGTCCAAAAATTGGCTACAAAATGGCGGTAAGCTATGTCAGTTTCATGCGAGATATAACGTGTCGGGGAAAACAACTCCTGGACAAAATGCTGTTTTTCCTGTGAAAATAAACAGTTGCATAGATACTCCACTGTGATCTAATTAATATTACCCAGCCTTACGATGAGTCGTCTAGTGTCAGAGAAGAAACAGAAATATGTTAGAAAATAGTCGGTTCATTTGCAGTTTATTAGTGTACAATTTGTTTGTTTTGGTTTTTTGGTTTTTGTTTTAATATATTGCATCACGCGATACGTAAAAATTGTGTGACGTACAAATAGATTGTTAACTTATTGTTTCATTCATTCATTCATTCATTCATTCATTCATTCATTCATTCATTCATTCATTCATTCATTCATTCATTCATTCATTCATTCCTCAGGCCTCTCGCCGAAAAAGAACTTGCATTATTATCTTGTCATTGAATACTATTTAAATGAACACATCATAGTGTTCTTGTTTTTTAATACACTTGCATTTGCAATGCTTATAACACTACTTCAGTAGTGTTCTTGTTTTTTAATACACTTGCATTTGCAATGGTTATAACACTACTTCAGTAGTGTTCTTGTTTTTTAATACACTTGCATTCGCAATACTTATAGCACTACTTCAGTAGTTTTCTTGTTTTTAATACACTTGCATTTGCAATGGTTATAACACTACTTCAGTAGTGTTCTTGTTTTTTAATACACTTGCATTCGCAATACTTATAGCACTACTTCAGTAGTGTTCTTGTTTTTTTAATACACTTGCATTTGCAATGCTTATAACACTACTTCAGTAGTGTTCTTGTTTTTTAATACACTTGCATTTGTAATGGTTATAACACTACTTCAGTAGTGTTCTTGTTTTTTAATACACTTTCATTCGCAATACTTATAACACTACTTCAGTAGTTTTCTTGTTTTTAAAACACTTGCATTTGCAATGGTTATAACACTACTTCAGTAGTGTTCTTGTTTTTTAATACACTTGCATTCGCAATACTTATAACACTACTTCAGTAGTTTTCTTGTTTTTAAAACACTTGCATTTGCAATGGTTATAACACTACCTCAGTAGTGTTCTTGTTTTTTAATACACTTGCATTTGCAATGCTTATAACACTACTTCAGTAGTGTTCTTCTTTTTTAATACACTTGCATTCACAATACTTATAGCACTACTTCAGTAGTGTTCTTGTGTTTTTAATACACTTGCATTTGCAATGCTTATAGCACTACTACAGTCCCCGTCTTTGCAATAAATTGTATGCAACACACATACTTTTAAACGAGAATAAGTTTGAAGTAGAATGTGAATATACTGATATTCCACAAAGTTAGGATACTAAACATTTTTATTTACGGCAATGTGCCTATTATTATTATTATTATTATTATTATTATTATTATTATTATTATTATTATTATTATTATTATTATTATTATTATTATCATCATCATCATCATCATCATCATCATCATTATTATTATTATTATTATTATTATTATTATTATTATTATTATTATTATTATTATTATTATTATTATTATTATTATTATTATTATTATTATTTACACTTCTTTTGCAGGGCTATTTTGCATTAAACATCAGTACTGGCGTAGTCATTTTTGCGACCAAAAAACCAATTCTACCCACGCTAATCTAAATTCTCTACGTCTCTTTCCATACAATTGATCCGTCTGTCTCGACGAGGCGCTCGTTAATGGTAGCATAATCTCACAGGTAAAGTGTATTGACTGCGAACTGCGAATATCAGAACTAGCAGGGAAAAGAGCATGTTGGAACATGTTGAAAATACCGCTGTAGAAACTCTACCAATCCTAGATTTGCAAGCGGGAAAAATTTGCATGTCACGTGACATGGAATTGCGATTGACCAATCATTCCGAACACAAGTTGAGGTTATTTGCATAAGCTCAGCAATAAGCATTTTATATAGCATTTGATCGCGACCACACATTTCTGACATAGATCTACATATTTTATCTATATTGTTCAGGCGTTTATTTTCAGTCGTTGACACTAAGCACTGTACCGTTAGTTTACCGTTATAAGGACTTGTTCTCCGCATATTGGGACATGGAGGCACGGTGTGAGACATGCTTTATTTAAAACCGTTTTAAGAAGTTTAGGGTCCTAGGCACAAACATTAAACAGCTAACACAACCGATACCGAAAAACGGCACTGGCTTTATTGTTGTGCAGGGATTATAAATGCATAAATAATTTAGTAAATGTTAAGAGAAATGTCGGTTAGTAAACTGTATAAAGTATTAAAACTTTTAAATCCCTCTCATATATATATATATATATATATATATATATATATATATATATATATATATATATATATATATATATATATATATATATATATATATATATGCGCGTGTGTGTATGTGTGTGATAACTTTAATTATATTTATGTGAAAGATGTCCAATTTGACTTCCTTCGATTAGATAGGTCCATAGGAGAGGTAGAACCTTCTAATGTACAAACACCAAAGTCACATTTATTTTAATTTTATTTTAACAACATTTCTTGACAACACTCTCTATAGGATGCAGATGGGGGAAGGTCTAAATTATAACACAAGCACTTGGATTTATCGTAACGAGATAAGGATGTATCTTGAGTTCTTTTTTTCTACTTATGGAAGTAAGATGCGAATGTTTTAATCTCAGATTTATCAGGAACTAATTAAACAAAAAGTATTAAACAGTTGTTTTAATGATGGTTGAATGTTTCAAAAAATAAGTTTTAAGTAACAGTTCATACTGAAATATACATTTTTTGATCAAACGATTACGCCGTTCCGCATCGATCGTTTTTATTGGAATTTACATGAGTTTCTGAAATATTTGATGTGTTATTTATTCACAAGAGAAAAAATAAATAAAGTAACTTAAAAAATACCGTAAAAGATGAAAAAATACATGCATGTAAGTTTAAAAATATGTATCGTAGACTGACATACACACGCACGCTGACACTGATATACTTGTCTGAATTGTTATTGTGAAGCCCTGTACTTAAACATTTTGGAATCTATTACGAAATAAAATAATTTTGTTAAAATATAGCATTTCTTATTATACTTGAACTATTCGTGTTAATCTGAGGTTTAGGTTCAATAATACCCTTCATATTACTTACCTACCTAGTTATCTATCTACCTACATACATGAATGTACTCACCTAAGTTTATTGCGCACCTACATATGAAATGCATTGGACTAGTTTCTCCAAGTACTATAGTTTAGAGAAACAACCTTTATGTCTTGAAATAAGCATATAAATTTCAACCTAAATCTATTTATCATTCAAAGAGGTCTTATTTTGAAAACTACAAAGCCCGTATTTTGAATTATTTAGCTTCGACCGCAAGACCTTTATATCTTCAACATTGCCGTTATACCCCATCACCTTTTATTCAATTTTATCATTGGAGAACTTCTGAGATTTAACAACCCCTTCATCTCATTCATGTAAATATCCTAAGTATATATATATATATATATATATATATATATATATATATATATATATATATATATATATATATATATATATACATATATATACATATATATACATATATACATACATATATACATATATATATATATATATACATATATATATATATATATATATATATATATATATATATATATATATATATATATATATATATATATATATATATAAATAAACACATTACATACAATTTTACTTTATCAAGATTATTGTTTGGGTCCTGAATAAGTCGTATTATGACGAGGAATATGAAAACTAAAAATTATTTTTGTCGAATAATCAGGTTGCTACTTATATCATGAACCCCCATGTACTATATGATTAAAGTATGGCTGAATTACGACAAGTATATATATACGCCTTTCACTTATTTACTTGCTGACTTATTTAGAACCACCTAAACACAGTTATGGTGTCTTTCCTGTAGTGAAAATTAAATATCGATTGCTAACAGAGACAGACAGACAGACAGACAGACAGACAGATAGATAGATAGATAGATAGATAGATAGATAGATAGATAGATAGATAGATAGATAGATAGATAGATAGATAGATAGATAGATTAACGGACTGACGGATGTACTGACGAATGGGTAGATTTATTGATGGATTAATTATAATTTATGCGACATATAGTAACCGCAGACACTTTGAATAATTTATGCGACATAAAGTAACCGCAGACATTTTGAACATAAATGTGGAATGTTTTTATCTCGGTTGCCATGTGTGTGATACCCTCACCACGCTCCTCACTACATTTTTGTACAAATATATCAAATCAAATTTATTTGTTTTTTTATTATTATTCCGGTTTTGCACGGGAAAACAATTACAATTTTCCTATTTATGAGTAGACAGGAAGACTTATTTTTTCTATTGAAAACAGT